TTGTTAGTGTAAGATGAATGTGCCAGAGTCTACTATTAGTACCGCTTGGTTTTATATTACCAATACGAAAAATAGTCAGCATCGAGAATAAAATTTCGTTTTCCTTTCTAAAATAGCTGATATTATTGATGCTGGCAAAAGGAGTTGATAAGACCGATGAATTTACATTGATGATGAAAAGAATACCGACTGACATGGAATTACTTAAGGCTCTTTCAGCAAACTGTAAAGCAATTTTATTGTCTTTGCTTGTTGATAAGAAATTATTGAACGATATTAATCCACCTTTTGATTTTTTTAACTTTTCGAACTGTTCCGGCGTCATACCTTGACCACGGTAGACGATAAATTCTTTTTGATACTCGTTAAATTGTTCCGAATGAACTTGTTCAATGTGTCGATGTAGATCACAAATAAAAAATGCCATTCTTATGATAACATCAAACTCTTGTTCACGAAGAGCCCAATTAAGCATATGATAAATGAAACTATCACAAGTATACCACCATATGGGTGACTTATCACTATATCCTTGCTGAAACTGTTGAATGTTTTCCAATTCTTTTGGATTATTAGAATATCTATCACGACAATAAGTAACTAAATCATAAACACTTTGATTATTGTATTCAAGTTCAAGAAGAATTTCTTTAATTAATTGTGTATACATAAATGATTGATCAAGTTGATCTAAACTTTTATCAGATATATCATTTGGCGAAAACAAACTGATACCTATGGAATCTTCTTCATATTGATATACCACTTGTTGTAATGATTTACATAGAATGATGATATCTGTAAAAATACCTCGAACTTTACGCCAAGTTTTTTCTAATGATTCATATTTTGATTTATTTTCACAAAGGATGAAGACTACTGTAAGTTGAGACATCTGATGAATACGAGGCAAGATATGTTGACTAACACTACCAGATACTAACATGAAAACTTTTTGTTTTTTGATTTTGTTGAGAAAATGAACACATTCATCACTGTCATTAAATACGTGAATGTTATTTACAATTGATTGTAGTTTTGTGATTGTATTACGATAATAATCATCATCTACATTGATATTGGTGTCCAACCAGAAGAGAGTATAATTTTGAATAATAGAAGAATGTTCTGAAGTTTTTATTACTGTTTTAGTATTATTCGATGGTGATGTCGTAGTAGTCGAAAATGTTTGTTTCGTTACTGGTTTAGGTTTAGTAGGAAGATTGATTTGTTTAGATTTTGTTCCACTAGAGACATTATTGGCTGTGGGCAATTTCTTTTTGTCCATGTTATGGAAAAATTCTTGAACAAGTACGCACTATATGAATCGGAACACAGACTATGCTCCTATGAAATACTCCTTCTATTCTATGACTCTGTTTTACTATGTACGATAAGAGAATTATTCTCTTTTTTATTAATTCAAAATTCTGATTGGTTACTATGTATATGTTGCTTCGAATAGCAAGAAATACCAACATAGACATGCATTAACAAAGATCAAACAAACAAATAAGAATTGGAAAAAGTTTTAATGGCTTCATAGCAATAAATGTGAATGATTGAATCTTGCTTCATCAGCATCCATGCATATGTGTATGCCTTTGTAAAAATATTTGGCTTTTTCTTTGAGAAATTTTTGATTGATTTCAAGGCCACGAAAAAATTCACAAGGAAAATAGTGACTCGTATATCTCATCACAGGAACTGCTTAGATGTTTTCTATGGACTTTCTGGAAATTCAATAAAGTTCTAGTATTCCTGATTCATGTGAAATATAGAGATATAGGAGTAATATAGAATCTTAATCTAGTATATCACTAGCATCTCATTACTTTCTTCACTTTCCATATACTTAGTCTCCCTCTTATCTAGACCTTAATGAATAATATCAGGGCTGAAATAGTTCTTCAGAAAATTCATTCATACAAACATCATCTATACAATTATATTTTATAGCCACTATTGATGAGAAAAATAGATACACAACATGTATTTTTTTGCTGCCTCGAGCTTCAATTTTCAGAGGTATTCATTGTTTCTTGTAAGCATAAATATTATTTTTTGTTTGAAAAATGAGAAAGACAGTACTAGACATGCATTTTGTGTTTACACAGTATGTGCTTACATAAAAATTTCTCATTAACAATAGAATATGTCATAAGAAAATAATTTTTTTTGTTATTCTCGTCTTTTTCTAAAATTGTCAAAGTGCAAGCAAAATTAATACATAAACAACTTTCTATTGTAGTTTTATGGTGATCAATTCATTTTTAAACATTTACACTTTCTCTCAACAAAGATGGGTGCTGGGTGTTGTGGTAGTAAAAACCAAGTTAGACCACCTCCATATAATCGTCAAGTATACAAAACCAAGACTCCACCTGTTACACGTAAACCTGAGGCGATATTGACTAGAAGTACAACTTCATCTATAGCGCATAAATCTGAGACTGTATTGGCCAAAATCAAAGATCCGCCTGCAATGCGAGATGACTTGACAATGCAACGCTTTTTGAAACTTGCCTTTAGTACAAATAATCCTTTGAAACTTATTGATGGTTATCTCAATGAACCACTTGCGTCTCT